CAACCCATGCCTCAAAGGAAAGTCAACAGACCTACTAGCACCTTCATAGGCCTATCAACCATCTCTCAAAACCTACCACCCACCTCTCCATATCTATCCCCTCTCCAAAAAAAAGCCCAGGTAGGTAATCATCACACCTCCTGTCTTCCTTGCAGCGCCCACAGCACCTTCATCAGCACATCACACATCACAGCACACCAAAAATAAAAACTCAACGCAATTTATTGTCTTTGTCTGCCCTGTAAACTTCCCTATGGAAACCGAGCAGCGAGTAGGTATCGCCATAAACATGGCCCCGTATTCCTGTCCAGTTTCCCTGTTTCCCCATCTCCTGAACCCATCCCGAGAGTAGGTACCTTATAGAAAAGAGAAGGGGGTATCAACCGTACCAATCGTACATAAACCAACATCCCACCAGCTCACATCCCACTTGGGAGGAGCAAAAGATTTAAAATTCCTGTGACGGGAAATTAAAAAAAGTGAATCATGCAACGAGTCACTTGACCCTTGCTCACCTATTAAGAAAAAAAAAGAAAAAAAAAACCCCAGACTCCATCCCCACATCCCCAGTAGTGACGTCGTGTCGTGAAAGAAAAAACTTAGTGAACCCCCGTATCATCACCACCCTGATGCACCACCAACGCATTCTCCCCCACGACCCCCTCCTCCGAACTCTTCACAAAAAACTCCACCGCCTCCTCCATAAACCGGTTCTGATCCTCCAACCCCAACCCCTGAAACCAAGCCTCATGCCCCTCAGGACTAACCGGCTTGACCGTCCACACATCCCCCAACCCCCTAACCGGAATGGCAGTCTTCAGATAAACCTCCCCCGCGATCTTGACCCCACGAGGAGGGTAAGAACCGACCTGCCTGGCAGCCACGATGGGAGTCCGACTCTGCAGCGAAGAAATATACTCATCCACATCAGCAATCGCACTGCCAAACTCAACCTGCCGCTGAGCCCGTCCCGTCGGCGTGGGAGAGAGTCTCGCCAAGGCAGCATCGATCCCCTTCGCCTTCGACTTCTCCTCCTCCTCCTCCTCCTCGTCATCATCATCATCATCCTCCTCCTCCATAACCTTGGCCGAAGTCTTCTTCCCACCACCCTTCCCATTGTTGTTCGTCCTCTTCTTCACTACCCCAGCTCCAGTCCCAGCCTTGGGCTTGCTGCTTACAAGACTAGTCCCCTGGTCCATCTCCGTCTTGCCCACGCCCGAACCGCTGGATCTGCCTCCCTGCGGCTTGACGGGCGGCGACCAGTTCTCAATGTTGAGCTTGCGCTTCACCTGTCCGTAGCGCACCTTGGCCGTCTCGGCGTTTTTGAAACCGTTGTCGCGGGCGACGCCCTCCCAGTTGATATCTGGCCGGGTTCTCAGATTCTTCACTATGGAATAGAAGAGGAAGGCCTCAGCTGAGGTGGGCTGGGGGGCTTTCTCTTCGGCCATTGTCCTTGTTGCTTTTGTGAGTTGTTGAGATGAAAAGGGGTTGTTTTTGTGGTCTGTGAAAGAGAGAAGAGTTAGTTTTGTATAATTGAAGGCTGTCTTTAGGTAGTCCATTTTGGCGGTTGGAGAGGTGTGGTGTGAGATTGATAGAGTGTTTGTGTCGAGGGTGAGGTGGGATCTATGTGTTGAATAGGTAGACGAGGCGAGGAAAGGGAAGGAAACAATTGTCGGTGTGAATCTGACGAAAGAAAGTCGCAACATAAAACACACTTGTGCCATGAATGGCGACCAAAGATGCCCGACCGGCAATTGCGACTGCAATCACGGCCCCGGGACGGAAGAAAACAAAACTCCGAAGGAAGAAGATAACTTACTGGGAGAGCGGTATTGAGTGAGGCAAGCAATCAATGCTTCTCTTGCCAAAGAGCAGTTGTTGTCTGTGGCTGTTGGGTTGTTGTCGCAAAAGCAGAAAGCCAAAGGCAGCAGGAAGCGAATGTCACAAAGTGGTTGTGTTGTGGGAAAGAAAAGAAATGCAGGAGAACTGGAGAGAGAGAGAGAGAGAGAGAGAGAGAGAGAGAGAGAGAGAGAGAGAGAGAGAGAGAGAGAGAGAGAGAGAGAGAGAGACTCTATTTAAGGACTCCCTGCGCCGGTCCTACGCCACCAGTTCTGTGGGATTTGTGGATCGTAGTTGCTCAATAACTCAAGATTGGAATCGATTTCTTTTTTTTGTTTTGGAGCGACCAAGCTGGCCGTCTGATTTCAAGCGGGGAAGGGGCAATGGACGGAGAGCCGCAATCCTTGAGTCTCACTGGCCGGGGGGTGGGAAAGGGAGCAGGAGAATGATAACGGGGCTATTCACTTCGGACGACGATACGCAGGCGGCGACGGCATTGCGAGTCAACTGGCCCAAAGAATACACATGGGTCAAGGGGATTGCGTGTTCTGTGTCTTGTAGGCGGAGAAAGAAGCTGATGGTGACCTTGGGAAGCGTCTGATGTTCTTATCATGGCAGTGAGGGGCTCGGCAGATTTAGGCAGTCAGTAGATTGGGTCGTCATTTCTCAAAGAGCGGACGAAGATAAGGTACTGAGAGGGAGTCTCTCTTGGCTGTGGTATCACGGATAGACTCTGGCATCTCAAACACATGCTACCTTGAACAGCTTCAAAGCCTCGTTGTCATCGCCTCCCAGAATTTGAAGCGATTTCCCTATCGACGCCGCTCGACACAAGCCCTAGAGCCGCAAGCTGACCCTGAGGCTTCAAAATGTTTGAACTGTAATCTAGCCCACCTCCATCAAATCATTGCTGGCACCAAACTCTTCCAAACAATAACTCTCACGACTCCCCTTCTCAAGTCCCACCATCCTGAAGTCTCGACGCCCATCACCTCAATCAACACCAATCCACTGCTCGGGCAGACTCTTATCCCCATAAAAAGCATACATTCGCCTCAATTACGCCTCAACGAATGTATTAACCGTATCCCACCAAAGTCATCCTCCGTCCCAGAATCACTGCACGCAATGCTCCCCTCAACACAACTCCAACATTGCTCCAACCCCTCCCTCCCCGCCGACACAACCTCACTCCCAATTCTCCCACTCATCCTCAACCTTTCCATCCCCCAACAGCTAAGCATTATTCACCGTGCATGATGGTCACTCCAGCTCATTGCTCTTGTCCCCCAGGGCACTCCTAACGCAACACGAACCGTCAACGTGTCTGCCTCCTTGAATGTAGGTATCTCACATTCTTCAATCCCATGTCTAGGCAGGTATCTCTTCTTGTTGTGCGTACCATGGCGGCAATGGTGGTAGTGGTTAAGTTCGAGAAGGGGGGTCTATCCCCCTGGAATGTGGATCCGGCGCTGTTTAGCGTTGCTAGGGTAACATGCCACATCAAACCCTAACTCCAGTGCTATCAACAGGGGTAATGCAGACCACAAGACACCTATGCAAATGGTATACGCGAGGGAGAAAGGCGGAAAATTCATCCAAGCGGATGTCTACGGGGTCTGGGGGTTGTCTCAGCGCGTATTGCTGACATAGGCCTGGCTCGGGGTTGTTCCGCTCCCTCTAACTTGGACACGAGGTCTGCTACCCCTGGGTATCCTAGACGGATTACCATGCATGATACTCGGGACTTGTAACTACCCGATTCGTTAAAGTTAATGTGTCTGACCTGTGCGATGCCCTTTGAGGGAGACGATATGGACAGAACTGTTTGTCTAAGCTGCTGTACGGTGGTGATATAGGTAGGGGGGTTGGGGTTGGAAATGGGAGTCCGTCTGAGCTGTGATATAGATGGGGTGGTTTGAGAAGGTTTTTTCGTCTAAACACAGGTACCTTGGCTATGATGATAGCACGTAGGGCATGGTTCGGGAATGTATGTTTGTCTAAGCGTATATGACAATGATAGTATAGAGTTATATATTTATTAAAAAAGAATGACAATAAAATGGAGTGGGTGCTTTGGACATGTCTACCTAGTCGTCTCAACCGTCATGGAGTGGTGATACAAATGGTATGATCTGGAAATATTTATCCGTCTAGCTCTCGCCGTGATAACACAGAGGGAGTAGTTCAAAACATATTATCTTAGTATCCCATGATAATATTCAGGAATGTTTAGAGGTGTCTGTTCGGCCAAGCTGTGATATGGTGAGAACATAATGAGGATAGCTTGGGAGTGTTTTTCCGTCGAAGCAATTCTAGTTAAGTAGGAAGCTCGGTTGTGGGCTCTGCGGGTTTGGTGATGCCTAGGTGGTGCTCACACTGGCTCTTTCATGGGATCGGACGTGGAGCTGAAGTTTGCTGGTGTTTTACTTTTTTTGCTGGAAGTAACGGAATGTTGTACTGATGAGTAGCACGGTGGGGATGTGACCGTGGTGAAGAGATGGATGGGGTTAAACCCGTGAATTGGATGGGAGGTGGTCAAAGTGTACCCAGGTAAATAATGATGGTTCTGTTGAAAGTTAAGTGGCAGTTGGCCAGAGCGGGTGACTAGCGCCAATGTGAACGATCTGGAGGCGATGTCGATGTTAGAGCGGTATGTGTTGTTCAACTGAGCTTAGAGACACTTCTCCCAGCTTGGACGAAATGCTGAGGGTAATTGAAGAAAAAGAAAAAAAATGAAACAAACACGACATTTGAGACGGTGATCATCACCGATATCAACAATTTGCAAAAGCGAACTAGATTGGAGATGTATCAATCATATTATCAATCAATCATACCAAACTATCACACCCTACCCCAACCCACCCCAAGATATCCTCTCTTCAATGCGCTCACATCTGGGTTCCCAACCGACTACACAACGAAGAAGAAAAGGTAATGTTACAACCCCCCACTCTTCATCCCTCAAAGGTCCAGGGGCAGGGTCTGAGCAGAAGAAGAAAATGTAGACGACAAGTCTGAAAACCAATCTACCGTTTACAACCATGTAAAAGAGAAAGAGAAGAAAATCAAAATCAACGTAACTGACAACCCAATATCTTCCCTCTTCATAAACTTCCCGAACCGTGTTACCCAATCTTGGCTCCGTATCAAAAATATCAAACAAACCCCCCATCCATCGCCCCCCACTGGGGACTCCCCGACGCATGCTCCGCTTTGATGGGGTGAGCAGGAGAAGGCGACACACTCGTCCTCAACCCCTGATGCATCACCATATTATTGAAATCAAACTGCCCCGTGTCCATCCCAGCGAGGTTCATATTCATTGTGTTCATCCCCATTCCCATTCCCATCCCCATCAGTCCGAGATTGCGCTCCTCTTGTGTTTGTTGCTGCTGGGAGAACTGGGTGTGTTGCGAATGTGAGTGTGTGTGATCGCGGGCGGCAGCGGATGGGGAGTAGCCAAAGGCTGTCGCGGTCGTGTTTGTGGGCGAGTACATCGATACCGACGCGGGACTGTTCTGCGACATGTGGCTTGTGTGGCCCCAGGTGGGGCTCGCGGTGTCGAAGTGGTGGGTGTGGTGATCGTAGGGGGGCTGAGTTTGTGATTGATGATGGTGTTGATGAAAGTCGTGAGTATTGCTTAGAGGGCTGCTGTGAGCGGCTGTCATGAAGTTTTGGTTAAGATTGTGATGCATCAACACGTCTGATGCTTGTGCTTGGACGGACACGGGGGATTGATGGTCGCTGCATGGCGTCAGAAGACGCATGGTGTGATTGTGCGCAGGTGGCGGGATGGGAGTTGGGCCCTGGCGGTGAGAATGCATCATGTTGGAGAAGAGAGGCGTGTCGATGGGTGTCCCGGGCATCGACATAGTAGCTGTGGTAGGAGTGCTAGATGCTGTCCTTTCTTTCTTGATCCTGACCGTCTCGATTTCGAAGGTGCTGGCTGGGATGGCATCCGACTTTGGAGAAGGCAGTTGTGGATTGGCAGGCTTTGGCGATAACCTTTCGACCTTGATCTTCTTCGCTGGAGGATTGTCGGGCTTAGCAGGCGTGTTTTGGGTGTCTCCATCGCCGGCTTCCTTTTGTGAGGTGGATGCTGCTGTGGTCTTTTTCTTCCTCGCTGTCGGCTTGGTGACTCTGTTTCGTTTCTGAGGTTCGATGCCTAGCATGGCCGACCTGAACCTCGAGTAGCGCATGCGGGCGGCATGGCCATTGGTAATGGGCTGAGCGAGATTGGGATCTTGGGCCACCTTGTTCCAGTCGATCTGGACGCGAAGTTGGCCTGGTGAGTGGTCTCTCCGTGGCGGTAGAAGAAGCAGAGAAAACATACATCTTTGAGGCATTTTTGCTGGAGTATGGCAAAGAGGAACCGGGTCATGGCATTATCGTTGTGGGCCATGATGAAGGATGCAGAGGGCTCTCGATCGGGCGGTTGGGGAGGATGTCGACGTCTGATTGGGGGATGGAGGGTGTGGAAGGGAGGGGAGAGGCGGTCGAAAGCCAGCCGACCGAGGGAAGAAAAGAGAGAGAAAACCACCACCCAGCAGCAGAGGGGAGTGGCCAGCTCAATATGAAGGCTCTTCTTCTCTCGCAGGGGCCAAGGATCACACCGACAGAATACTACAGAAGGCTCTGGGGAGCTGTGTGGGGAAGTGAGTCACTGTTGGACGGGATGGTGTGCGGTGTGAATGTAGATGAGCCGTGGGTGAGGCTGTCGGGCGGGTTATATGCCTGTTTCACCCCCCCCCCCCCCTAATAGAAGCAATAAAAAACCTTCTCATGTAGTTTTCCTTTGGGCTGAGAGCAAAGAAGCAATGGCTTGGTGGCATCGGTCTTCATTGGGGAAGAGAGCAAAGGGGGACAGCAGTCTTTGCCGAATGAGGAGGGGGATGCATGAGGTTTTGTTTGCCGGGTGTGAGCAGCAGCCATTGTGGGTGAAGCACAGAATGCAGCTTGAAAGCGCCACCCTGCGCTGGACACAGATAGGACCTCCTTTTCCGGGCATAGGTATCTATCTATCTACAGCATTTCCAGAAGACAATCAGCAGTGGTTGCCTGGTCCATAGGCCCTCTGGTGGGGGAACAGGCTCAACAAAAGGAAAAGGCCGGGCCACTCACACAAGAAAGAAGCCGGCGATAGAGGGTGGGATGGAGCGACGAGCGCAACGCGGCACCGAGGCGCTACCGCGTGAAGTGCTTTTCTCCCAAGACATGCAGATCCCTGGCCCTTGCCTCACATGCTGGAGGTGTGACATCCATCTCTTGTTGAAGCTGCTCCGAGTCAAGGCATTGGCTGTGACCATGTCAAACGGCCCCTGGCGAATCGAGTGGCTGCCTCGAGGTGCGGCAGCTGTGTGAGCTAGTAGCTGTCGAAGCTGTCGTAGCTGTCACAATGATAAGTAGATGCTTGCGCAGTCCGGGCGACGACATGCAGGTGGGTGAACCATCCGTCAAACTGCATGGCTCGGGGGAGGGGAAGGGAAGTCTGGATCGATCGGGAATCAATCTGTCTCCAGCTGGCCAGTGTCAGGAACGGCACAGACAGATTGATTAGTGAGTCACTAGACTCGGATGGGATTGGGAAATGCGAGACGTCGGTTGGAGCAAGAGGAAAAAACTGAGTGGGATTTCCAGGTTCAGAATATGCAGAGTCGATGAGGTAGGTAGTGGGAGCAAGGCATGGATGGGGATGGGGAATGGGGGATGGGGGAGCGGGTCAATGGTAGACGCACGCTCATTGCTTCGTGGCCTTTTTTGTTGCCTCTTGGCTGCCTGATGATGGGGTACAGAGCAGCCCGTGATGCTACCCCTCCCGAGCTTCCGTCCTGAGACGCCGACGATAAGGCGGTGATGCAACCCGCCGGAGCAATGTCTAAGGTAGGTACAGAGGACAAAGGCATGATTGCAACAGTCACGGTTGCCTCGGATCGAGTCATCACAAGAGCGGTGATGTATCTACATGATGTTATCACTGTGCTACAAAGAGTTGAGATCACTCAACAGGACAGTGAATGGCCCACAGGCAGTCGTCATCCGCGTCAGGTTGGGGATATTTCAGGGCTACAGCGCGTCGCAGGCTGGGGGGCTGTGCCACTGGTGCGCGATACTGGCGCCAAATCATCTGACCTCGGGTTTTTTTCTCTTAATATGGGACCCACCCACTCACACATTCCATTCCACGGACCACAAGGCGCCATCCCAATTCCCCAACCTCTTTTTTTTCTTCCCCTCCCTTCCTCTGTCCCAATTGAGTTTGGTCCCAGCCCCTAGCGAGGAAGCTCTGACCATGTGGCATTGGCCAATCAGATGGAACATGGTGGTCTGGTCTCGGCGCCAGTTGAATGATCTGGCCGCCTTCTTCAGCAAATGCATCTCTGCTTAGCAGACCTTAGCAATTTTCCCTCTCGTGGCCGCTATCCACTCTGTTCATCAGCTACCAATTATTGTATTCTGATACTGCCGCTGTCGCTGTCACCATGAACAAGAACTGGAACGACCGGGCCGACAAGGACCTGTTCTTCACCATCCTGTCCGTCAAGAACATTGGCGTCATCAGTGGCAGCGAATGGACTACCATCGGCAACCATATGCGCTCCATGGGCTATGGCTTCACCAACGAAGGATGTCGGTGAGTTTCTCTTGTAATTCATGTCTGGTATCTCCGTAAATGATTAGCACTGGCCGGTGGCTGTTGCTTGTTGTTTCTCTTGTATCTCTGCCCCAATCCTGTACCCCCTTTTAGTTGATCAACAATTGTTTGCTCGAGTTGAGCCGAGATGATGTCTGTTGCGGTACCTTCAGCCAGTCAGCGGGCGGATGTCAAGTTACTATTTGTGATATCGGCCATCCAACCGGGAATGTTCTTTATGCTGTTTGATCTGATCTAACACACCGTCCCAGCCAGCACTTCCAAGGCCTTCGTCGTGCTCAGAACAAGGCCGATTCCAGCACTGTCAACCCCGACAACAGTCCCAGAAAGATTGATCCCACCTTGAACCCCATCACACGGAGACCAGGACCCGGCCGAGGCCGCCCAAGAAAAAACCCCGCTCCACCAACTGCTGCCGATCATGCTGCTGCTGCTGCCGCCGCCGCCATTGCCGCCGCCGGGCCAGGACAAGCCCCCGGTGTGGCTCCTGGTGGCGGCCCGGGCTTAGCCCCTAGTGTTGCTCCTGGCCCCGTCCCGGGTGTGGCTCCTGGTCCTCCGGGGGTGGCTCCCGTTTCCAGCGCTCCTCCGACGCCGCAACAAATCACCAGCGTTCCGGTGCCCGTCATCCCTGGCATGCCTGCTCCGCCGCCCGGTGTTCAGATGCATCCCATGTATGCTCAAAATGTCCAGGCTCAGGTGCAGACACCAGTTCGCCCACCATCTCGGCCCATCAATGCTGGTGGCGCACCACCAGCCCAGATGGAATCCCCTGATGATCTTGCCGTGGACCCTAATCTGGAGGATGACTCGGACGAGCATATGGCTAAGCGGCAAAGGCTGGACGATTCGCAAAGTGGTTCGCTGGATGATGAAGCTATGATGAATGCCCTGTCAGCACACAATGAACCCACGCCGGGAGACTATAGTCAGGAGTGAGTACTTAGCTCTTCCCTGTTGATATCTTTTCGCCGCTGACACCTTGTCGCAGCTTTAGTAGTTATGGTGAGGCTTGATCTGTCCGTCATATATATACTATATAGCGTGATGGCTTGGTGTTTCCTTTGTTTGGTTTGTCTGGGACGTTACAAAGATGCGACTGTATGATAATGTGGTAATGGCGCTGGCGGATCGGCGAGGATCGGCGAAGGTTCAAAAGAAGTATGGAACCCCTTTCGTGGTGGGCTATGGTTAACATCTCGGCGTCAGCAATAACAGGATAATATTTCCGTATCACGATACCCTTTGCAAGAGCGTTGAAATCTCCAGGCTGCCCCTGTCGTTCCTGCCTTACCTACCTCAGCACCGCGCTTGCCAAACCTGTGTTCTTTGCTGGCACGGTGGGGTGGTGGCATTGTCAAGAACTTGCGTTAGTTTTCCTCTCGAAATCTGCTCCCGCGATCTCGACTTTATCCTGACATCCAAGCTGCTGATCTTGTACCATCTCCAGATCTCGCCATCCTCCTGCGGATACAGCAAAGACTCGACAACGATCAACTCGATATCAACCGTCAACAATGTCTGACAAGAGAACCACCGAGAAGGTTGGCAACACCAAATGGGGCAATGAGCCTCATGAAGCCCTCGCCGTGGGCCTCTACAACGTTCTGATCGCCCAAGGCGTTAGCCTGGCTAACAGCAAGGACATTGTGGTCGATACCATGGCTCGCATGGGTTCGCCTTTCACTTGGGAGGCTATCCGGTACGTATTCTGCAGTGTTTGTTTGTTTGTACTTTCTCCGTGTCTTCTGCCTTGAAGCCCTGCAGTAGTCGAGTCGAGTCGAGATCCTTGTTGGCTAGTGCCATAACCTGGAAATTCTGTTTGTTTGCCAGTCAGTCTACTTTCTCTCCCACAACAAGCACATTCCCTTTTGCAACTTGCGACTCTCTCAAGCACCACACACTCACAACACAATACCGACACCAACACCAATCGCCGACATGGTTCGCTGGGATAATCAGTCCAACTCGGACCTCCTCACCTGCTTGTATGACGTCTACAGCAAGGAGATGGGGAGGGAAGTCCAGGCGCAGATCGTGGACAAGATGAAGAGTAAGGGCCACGAGGACGTCAACTGGGACAAGATTCGGTATGTTTCCATCTGCTGCTTTCAACTCCGTCATTGGTCTGGCCCCCTTATCGGCCTGCTCCCCTTATCGGACCACGTCTGTCTGGCCCTGCCTAGTGGTGCTGCCAGTGGTCGCCCTTTCCCAGCAGGCTGTGAGCAAGCTGCCCAGTTATTTACTGCTAGCCTGGTTTTTGACCTGCTATCTTTTTCCCCATTCACAAAACACCACCTCAGCTTGACCTGAGCTGCTCTCGCTACCCTCTAACCACACTCGACATCTCACCCTTCATAGCACCGTTCACAATGCCGCCGCCGACCAAGTATATCAACCGCTGGGAGGACATCAAAGACGACGTCTTTGAAATCATTTACAACATGAAAGCCCCCTTGTCGGCTGAAGACAAGGACCAGCTGGTGAAGGCCATGCGTGAGCGTGGCTACAACATTGGCTGGAATGGCCTTCGGTACGTTATCCGTCTGAATAGGTGTTGACGGGAGATCACAAGTGAACCGACAAAGTTGTCGACCCACTGATGTGGTCCGAGTTGCACCCAACGAACCCAAGAGTCTTTATATTCCGTCCTTTCCTTCACAGTCCCATTCTTTTTCCCTTCCTCTTTTCTTCGTCCGTCAACCCTCTTTCGTCCGCAAACGATATTTCGTCCGACAACGATTGAAATCATCACAACAACCCGTTTGACCACGGACAACATGGCCCGAAAGGTTACAATTTGGGGCGCGGAGCAGAACCTGGCTGCGCTTCAGGCGATGTACGAGTGGATGAACCCGTCAAAGCAGGATATGATCGAGATCGCACTGGCTTGCCGGACCAAAGGCCATCATTTCTTGGGCTCAGCTCTAGCGTAAGCACTCATTCCCCCTACCTTCTGTAGTCTGATTAGTCGTCGGACCACAGGCAGGAAAGAGCAGGACTCGGATGAGCAGGTCATCAAGCGAAGACGTGGTTCTCGGCGTTGCCGGCAACTTCCCAGTTATCTGTTCTTTCTCCCCTCGAAAAGCCTCCGCAGCTTTCTCTCATACTCTTTCACAACCACCACCAGGCACACCCTGTCCTCAGCGACTTTACACCACCACCAGACACCCACTTCTTCACCAACATCACCCAACAACATGCCACCTGGACGTGCTCTTTCTGGAAAGCCGACCACGGTCTGGGATCACGACGCACACCTGACCTTGCTTCAAGCAGTGATTGTGCGTGGCGAGATCAAAGCCGAGTGCTGGGACGCCATCATTGCCTACACCAATCTCCGCGGCTACAACTACACCCAAGGCGCTGCACTGTACGCTGTTCTTTCCCTTTTGCTGTTGCTTTTGTTCCTTCCGCCGATTCTCATCGAGTTGACGTTCGGTGGCAAGTGACACAATATCGCTGCCTGGCACACCTTCACCCCTTCGCTCCGCTTCTCTTCAACTCTTCCTCATTTCCTTCCCGTCCCTTCCCCTCCTCCTCGTCGACTCTGCCCTAGTTTTCCTCCCCTCTCTTCTCTTTCACTCTTCACTCAACCCTCATCCCACATCAACATCAACACCTACATCACCATCACCTCAAGCCATTCACCAAGAAAAGTCGCAGACATGGCCATCGACAAGTCTCGCATGAAGTGGGACCTCCAGGCCAACCACGACCTCCTCCTCTGTCTCGTCCAGGAGTTGAGCCCCTCCCAGGACCAGCTCAGAGCCGTGATGGAACAAATGCACGAACTCGGCTATACTTGCACCGTCAAGGCCATCACGTACTTTGCTGACATGCTTCACTTGATCCCTTTTGAGAACCCTACACTGACATCTCGTTCTCTCACAGTCAGCACCTCCAGAAGCTCCGGCGCAAGGACACCGCCGCCAACGACGGTCCTGCCGAGGGATCCAGCGCCAATGCCCCTGAGACCCCCGCCAAGGCCCGTGGTGGCAAGGCCGCGGCCAAAAAGACTCCCGGTTCCAACAAGCGCAAGGGTCAGGCCGCCGCTGCTGGTGACAACGGAACCGACAATGAGGAGGCCGATCCCACCCCCGCCGCCAAGAAGCGTCGCGGTGTGAAGAAGGAGGCCCCCAAGTCTGACACGATTGTCAAGAAGGAGGACTCGGAGGATGACCATGATGCGTATGGTCAGCCCCGCGCTGCCACGACGGTGTACTCGGCTGATGCCTCGTAAGTCATCACATGTCTGTATCCACACCCAGTTTGACTGGTTTTTTTTTTTTTTTCCTGTTTGAACTGTGTGTCTAGAGCATGTCTAACCACTTTTTGTTTCGTGAGTTTAGGCGCCACGTGGGCATTGGCTACGCCGGCTAAGTTGTGTCGTTTTGACGCGACACACTTGACAACGTCATCTATTTGCGATCAAGTGTTTTTCCCTTTTACCTCGCCAGCTTTTCTTTTTCTTCTTCTTCTTTTCCTTCGACTTGTTAAACTGGCGTTTGGGCATTAGGTGGGGGATGGGGAAGGGGGGGGATAAAGGCGTAAGGGTGACTCGGTGGGGTTTTCTTTCATGGAGGTCTATCTGCATGGGGGGAGGCGTTATGGGTTTTCTTTTCTGCCTTTTTTTTCTTCTTTTTTTCTTTTTCTCTCCCTCTCTCTCTCTTGCTGGGTTTTTTCACTCGCCGACTTGGGGTCAAGGGATATTATGGGAGGGAAAAAGGATGGATGGTTGGGTGGGGGGAGTTTACGGGATTTGTTTTCCGTTGAGTTTGTTGGGGGTGGTTATATCGCACAATACCAAAGGGACGTTGACTTGATGTTTGTGATGATGTGATGTGATGTGATGTGATGTGTGAGTGTGTCTACAAGATAATTGGCATGGCAGAAGCAAGTTGAGGTATGGTATGTTGTGAACTGTGCTTTGAAGGGGAACTAATGGGTGTTTTGAATATCTTTGAAGGTGTGATGATTATGCTTCGAGGTATAGATATGACACGGTATGGGTTGACCTTTCTTTATGTGTCAGCTAATATCGCGGTTGAAGGTGTGTGTATGTGTGTTGTGTAAGGGTGCAGGGCAAGGATGTTGAGAGATGGGGTGATACGTATGTTAAGTGTCTTTGATGGGTGTAGTACATATGTAGGTGTTGATGTCTTTTCCAAAACATATTAACCATCTTTCACACACCCTCATCTCCAATCGACACTTTTCCGGTTGAGCCGGGCGAGTTAGAGCTGGCTCGGCGGTGTCGACCCCTACTCGGACTGGTCTCCCGGCGTTCAATCTTGCGCATTCGCTGCTCACACCTACACCTTTGCTGTTTATTAGATCTTTGTTGTTATCTATATCCCTACACGAATAGAAACAAATCCTGGTGTTTTTGCACTGCGAAGGGGTAGGTCTCAGATGTGGTTCGGTTTTAATTCGCGGCTGCTTGGAGAACTGAGGGAGCAGTGGCCGACACTGGGCCAGCAGTTGCTGACACTGAGCGGCATCAACTTTGGAGTTAGGGTTGCTTACTCGCCGGGGCTCTACCTGGTGGCTAAGCTTGGGTCGAGCTTGCCCTCGAGGCATCTCCAGCCAATCTTTAGTACACAAAAGGTCTTCTACGATGGTCAACGTCTTTGGTTTTGCCAGTTTCACGCTTGGGATTTTCGGACTTTTCTTCCTTTTCTTCTTCCTTCTTTCTGTTGTTATTTACTTTTGGGGTATCTTTAACCACAGTTAAGTAAGTTGGTATAGATTGTGTTGAACCATCTTCTGGTTACCCTCCAGGCTAACTTCAAGTTTGACAGGAACTCCGAATCCCTGTTCACAGCGGCCGGCGACAGAGAATGATTGGTGGTTTGTTTCCCGTCCGAGCTGGGGTTACGTCTGTTGGCTCTGTGGTGCTGTTGCTGGTTGCTGTGCGCTCATCATTGGTGGAGTTGGGGGTGAGGTTGGGGTTGGTCGCTGGTTGCTTGGGGAGGGGATGGGGAGGGTTGGGGGGTTGGTGGTGGGTTTGGGGGGGATGGGTTGATGTCGAGGGGAGGTGTCCGGGGCGGGTTTGGGTGTTGAAACTCTTTGACGGTTGGTGGATAAATGCATGACTGACATCTTGATCGTGGGTGAGATGTAGACATCCATGCCGAGGTATCCTCCCGACAGCCTGCACCGAGTCCGGTCCCAGGATACAGTATACCATACCCACAACCACCCCCCGTATCCCTCTTCCTCGCTAACATTCCCAACGCATATACCAACAACCTCCAAATCACCCTTTTATACCACCACCGCCGCCGAGAAGGTCAAGAACACAACCCCTTCCGTTCCGAATCTCGTTCCCGTCCCCGCCAAGACATCTCAAACCCAGATTCAACATTACCACCCCCTCACCCTTTCTACCTTACCTTATGTTTACACAACCACACTCCATATCAAACCAACCCTCCCAAAACCCAGCATGCTCCCTTCCCCTCCCGGCCCCACAACCCTTCCATCCCATCATCCCGGGAACCTACTCACGTTCATCCGCTCAGGTTATCATTCCTACCTCCTCCTCCTCCTCCCAATCCTCTGTCGTTCGCCCGCTCGCCCACGAACCTCTCAACACATTCAATGCCAGAGCCACAACTGGGCCCAGGGAAACAGTTAGCAGGCGAAACCGAGGTAGGGACATCGGCGCGGTTATGTGTTCATGATTGGTTGCTCGTTTCAAGGAAAGGGGGGGTGGGTTGGTGTGCCTTCTACCAGACGGAGCGGAGGTCAATGCTGGCCAGTCTTTGTTGGGAATGGGGGAAGTGGTGGGATGCTGCTGTCGTTGCTACTGTTGTTGTGGCGGCTGCTACTGTTGCTGTTGTTGTCGTTTGTCGTTGGCGGAACTCGTGGTGGTGACGGTGACGGTGAAGGTGAGGGTGGCATTGGTGGCAGTGGTGGTAGTGGTAGCAGCAAGTAGTAAACGAGAGAGGGGATGGCTCTTGAAGGGTACCTAGATGGGGAAGTACTGGTTGAAGAGAATGGAGGGCATGTCTTGCCTGAGTCTTTATGAGGAAGGTGTCCCAGTACAGAGACTGTTGTCTATTGGACTTGTTGGAGTGGACTGGTGTCCTGTGGTGAAGTGTTGATTGTCCGGTATGCTGTCTAAGGCGGGATTTACTGAGACTTAAGACGTCAGGGGGTAAGTCTTGGGAGTCTGGAAGAGTTTGGGGGCGGTCAAAAGGGGTCAAGAACTGTCAGCAGAGGTCAGGGGCTGTCAATGGATATCAAAGAGAGTCTTTCAGATGTCCATGTCCCTGGAATCCCACTGAATGGGAACGCTGTCAAAACACCCGACAACACCGTCCACGACAGCGACAAAGAGCCCTTAGTCCCAGTCTCACGTCATAATAAGTCAGCTTCTGCAGACGGTACACACCAACAACCTCCAACTTCCACATCTCACGCATACTTTCTTCACAACACCTCAGCCCAAGATCAGCGATAACTAACCCCTTCATAATTATGTCCAACAGCAGCTTCTCTGCAGGCTCTAGTGCAATGTGGAATTCGTTATCTTGTGGAAAAACGGCCTCGAATATCGCATTTGCCGGTTGGTTGATGGTTCTCGGCTGACGGGTCTACGGAACGGGAGAGAGAGACGTCCGGGATGTTGTTCTATCTGCTGGTGTTTGGGGAGCATCGATATCCTCTGGCCGCCCGGCACCGGAACGGATAAGTAACGGGGAGAGTCGGAGAGGCTACAGGCGCTTTCTCACGAGAGCCGGTCCGTGACGAGACGGTGCTTCTCTCACATCTTGCTTGTTGGGCTACCTTGGAGAGTGATTATAAGAGGTCTAGTCGCCTGCACTTGTGTTCACGTCGCACAGAATTGGATAATTGATGACACGGCTGATGCTAGCAGGTTGGTATTAGAAGAGGAAGCCAATAAAGAAAGCGAATATGTGTAAACGTTGGATCTAGACGTCGGGCAAGCCTGGAGTGTACAGGTCCCATCGTATTCTCAAGATGAACTGAGGTCTATCCGAGACTGACAGGCAAGGCCTGCTGACGGCTGGGGATTCTAGGTTATTTGGTCACACAGCTGTGTTAAAAGACGAATGGTACACGGCTTATACATTTAAAGCCATGAGTAAAAACCCAATTTAGATCTAGCCTGAATTGTACAAATCTGGTCAATTGGTAGAGAAGACTGTGGCTCCTGCCAGATCACGCCAAAAGGGCAAGTACCATGGCCAAAAGTTTAGGTGACGGTAGCACCATAGTCAGAAAAGCGACGGCTGACAGCACGCCGTGTGAGCTGTCATCCCAAAGAAATTCCTCCATCTCGCTCATCCGCTGTTTATAAACACCCTCAGAATCCTCCTCCCAAAGAGCCCCATTGCTGAAACTGACACAGCGGCTGTACCTGCGGCTTCGCCTAAATTTCCGCGGGACACACCACACCAGAACTGTCGCCTCCTGGTCCTTGCCTTGCTGCCACCTCTCCAGCCTCCTTCCGCGCCGTCGCCTTATATCCTCCCTCGGGCTCATCGTCATCATTATCATCGTCCTCGTCATCATAACGCTTAACACGATAATCGTCCAACCCTTCCCATTCGAGTAAGTCCTCCAACTCGAAACCCTGACGCACAAACATCTTCATGTCCTCCCCCGCCGCACAACCAGCGGCTCATTGCTCTCTAAATTCTCTACCCACTTCTTGAACTTGGGCGCGCTATCCTTGCTGACGCGGCAACTTTCTTGCCGCCATGGAAAGAATAGAGGAACTTCTTTGGTTTGGCCGAAGAGGAACGAATCGCTGTCCCACAGATAGCGAACCCAGTAACGGAAGTCTTCCAAGTCATGCCATCGATCGAGGAAGACCACCTCACAAGTCCAGTCGCAGTGATTGCGAAGTTGCAATTGGTACCCGAGAGTGATCGCGGGAATCGAAACGGTGAAGATTTTGATCCAGTCTCCATCCTCCTTCTTCTTCTCCTTCTTCTTCTCCTTCTCCTCCTCCTCCTCCTTCTTCTTCTTCTTCTCCTCCCTCCTTCTTCTTCTCCTCTTCCTTCTTCTTCTCCCTCCTCACTTCTTCTCTTCGTCCTTCTTCTCCTCCTCCTTCTTCTTATCCTCCTCCTCCGCTTTCCTCTTTTGCTCTTCATCGCGCTCCTTCTCTGCCTCTAGGTCGGTTAGATCATCGATGTTCTCGCAGCCGTCATCGCCGTCAATGGGTGTGGGCTCATCAGTTCCATCTACGTTGTCGACCCTGCCAGGTCCATCGGGTCTGGTCATATTCTTGCCATGGTCAAGGGTGGCTTGCAAGGGCTGGGGCGCATCATCAGAGTCATGGCTAGACTGGTGGTCGTCTGTTCCCTTAGACTGCTCAGCCTGCTTGATGATTGTGTTGTCTTCAGGGTTTGCTTCAATGGTATCATGTTATTTAGGTAAGTAGGTAATGTAGCTTCATGGCCTCCAAGTATGTCACCTGGCAGGCGCTGGATCAAAAGGAGGTGCCAAGACATGCAGTTGCTGTGCCAACGCACGGCCCCTTGTCTTGAAGCCCCCTTTCCTGGATGGCAAATCAGGGGTGAATAAGCTTTGAAAAAGAACGCTGATCGAAATAGATGAGAAGAGCTAGATTATATATAAACCGTCCTTACTTTCCGCGTTGATTTAGTTCTGCTTGAAATATTGGGCGCCTGGATGTGTTTGAAGTTGGACTGCGTACCAGCGTCAAATGATTCCTTTGACAGGTGCTTCTGGGTTAAATACATCAAAGACAGGTATATGCAACTAAACTTTCATGTCTTTGGTGCCGTATGTCTATTGCTTTGTGGTACTTGCCGGAGCAGGGCAAAGACGTTGAACAGGCCGACGCGTCTTGTCGTGTATATCATCTTGAAGTCTCTCTCCATAGCCAGACTGGGACAGACTTCATCTGTCAACCACTACCAGACTTGATCTGATAGAATTAATCCTCAGACAACTTGAATCTTTCAGAAGGACTCGCATCATCTGTCCCACTTCCACCTTCCTCAGTCACTCATTGCTCGGCGCTGGCCAATTTCCCATCTTCCAATAGGACTTTCAGGCAACGAAGCTTGCTACTCCTTTGTGCTTACATCCCGCCGTCAACCAAGTATCACCACGAAGAGTAAATCGAAGCGTCTTATTTGACGACAGTAGGCCCACTTAGGGCACACCAGTACATTATTTCTGCTATCCTTCGGTCCTTTGCAGAAGCCTGCTCTCCTCTTCCGTCCCATCATCACCACCCTCCCTCAAGGTCACCAACTGCCACACACATAGCAGTCAGACAGGTGTTTGACAGGCCAATTCACTTGCTCCAACCTACCTCGAGCGCTTTCCCCCATTGCCTTCAGACGACATCTCGACTTCAACTCTGCAACGACTGCAAAGATCTTGCAACCTCGACATCACCACTCTCCACTAGGAACCACGTTTGGTAAGTCAAATCCTTCTTATAACCATCCCCTCCACTTCTCTCTCCCCCTCGCAACTCCTCTCTCTTCTTGCCTTGAACTCCCTCGCATATTGTTTGCGAGAGTCGAGTCAAAGTGGTTCCCTTCTTCGCTTCCGTCGAGTCCTGCAAGCCTGAGGCAGCCGCGTCATCCTCCTCGCCTGCCCACAAGACGCGACTCCGACAAAGCTTGTCCGTCCTACCCTTGTCTTCTCCCTCCCCCACATACTTCCTTTCCTCGACCTCACCCAGAACAACATCTTTGTTCGAGATCATTCCACCACCTACCACATTACCTCGCAAGGTACTTCACACAGCCATTGCGATGATGCCACGACTTCCAAGCGGAATCTCGAATTCGATTTGTCGTTGGAGTTCTTCGACTCGTAGTAGGCACCCCCACTAACCCTCCCACAGAAACGAACTCCACCCTCAAAACAGCCAAAAATGCCTGCCCTCGACGCCGAGCAGCACCTCAGGTTCCTGTTGTCATGCGTCAAGCACGCCTCAGCCGGTAGAGTAAGTCCCTCTCCCTCCCTTTTTTTCTTCACCACCCATCACTAACCACCACCACCACCACAACCACAGGTCAACTTCGACGCCGTCTCCCAGGAGCTCGGTATCGTCTCCAAGGCTGCCGCGTGAGTCCTTCTTCCCCCTCCCCACCCCAACACCATCACTAACCCTCTCCTCTCTAGCGCCAAACGCTACGAGCGCCTCCTCAAAGCGCACGACCTCACCCCCGCCAACGTCCCCAAGAACGGCGAAGCCAGCGCGGCCAAAACCCCCACCAAGCGCAAGCGCAAGGACGACCCCGTCCCTGTCAAGCCCGAGACGGACGAGTCGGAGGAGATGCCGATGATGGCCAAAAAGAAGACTGCTGCTGCCGTGAAGAAGGGCGGTAAAAAGGGTGAGGATGATCTTGACGATAAGAACAATGGTGGTGGGGTTAAGATGAGTGATATTCCCGAGTTCTCTCGCCATCTCCTTGACGGGAAGAAACAGGAGGAGGGTGGTGAGGTGGAGGTGGAGGATGAGGATGAGGTGGTGTATATGGGGGAGAGTTTTACTGGTATGAATGGGGGGCAGCAGGGGGTGAAGAATGGTGGTGGTGGTGAGGGTGGTGGTGAAGGTGGTGGCGAGGGTGATGGAAACGGCTGGAATTTTGCTAACCAGGGTTTTTTGCTTTCACAGTCAAGATCTCCTCCAGTGATGATGAGCAGCGGGAGGAGGGGGAATTTGATGGGTGTGAGGGGGGGATCTGATCCTTCTTTGACGCCTGTTGCCTCTCTGCCTCGGGATATGGGGTTTTTTTCTCATCATGTTTTGGAGACGCCTTCTTCTCAGGGTGGTGTTGGTGGTTATGATGGCTCTGGTTCTGGTTCCGCGGCGTCTGTTGCTGGCGGGGATGTGGACTTGCAGCGGATTTATCAGGAGCAGTTTGGGGGGCAGGGTTATGAGGGTTGGGGGAACTGAGGGATGGTGAGATGGGGGGAAGGGACATGGGTTACATGGGGTTGAGAGGGTTTCACTTCCTTTTCGGCGTTGATCTTTGCATTGAGGTTCATGATCATGGTGATTTGGGGTTAATTGGGAGTTGAGGTAAGTTCGTCGGTGTTGACTCTCGAGAGATCAGGCTGACGATGGGAACAGAACGATTTGGCACGAGCATCATGGTTTGATGACAGAGTTCTCTTCTTTCTGAGTCACACCTCGACAATCACAATAAGGCGTTGGGAAAAGGTTCAAGCGGAGGATTCCGGGACATCACTGCCAAAGGCGTTGGGTTTGCTGGCGTTGGGTTGGGTTGGCAAGGATTTCTGCCGGTTGAGCCGAGTTTCTTTTCTCGAACCGATATCGTCCATACGAGACAAATAAAACTGCGTTGATTTAATCTCTGGGGCTTTGTGTAATGCCTATGGAGGTTCTACGGATTTCCCTTCTCTGCAGAAGACCTCCATGGTGTTACACGAGGCATCGGGTGCTTGTGATGCCTCCAGGCTTCTAAGGTTTCTCTGCATAGGTAATTGTCTGCCTAGGCTCCACTACCTTCCGGGAGACTCTGTTTGAAGTCGCACCGAGAGATCGAACGGATTGAAAAGTCTTTACCGGGTATCGGAGAGACGAGACACCACCTTATTACCATCAGTCTCCCGCCGTCCATTTCTTCGTTATCTTTCCCTCTCCAGCATCTTGTCTTTGGTATTCACTTCAGCCTCTTTTTTTTTATATTTCTTTTTTTAATTCTTTTTTTTTACACCAGCATTCTCACCTCAGCGACTTCTCTTTCAACATCTTTCTCTTCAGCATCTTCTTCTCTTTAGACCGCTCTTCATCATCACTCTACAACATCAATCTATCATTCAACATCTCAATTCTCGACGTTCCTCTTCTCTCGACAGTTTCCACCTTGAGTCTTTCCTATCTTTCCTTCTCCTCCTTCTCTCTATATGTCTATTCAACAATTTCAACGTGACCCACGCGGTCCAGGCTTCCAAGCCACACCGGAATCACAATTGCCGTCAACCTTTACCTACCTTACCTCACCTTCAACAACCTACCTACCTACCTGTTCCTCCGTGACGACCTCTCAACCAGTCACTACCCACGACGGCCTTTGCCGTCCCAGTCCACCCACAAACCAGACCATCCTCCCGAGGGTGATCCTGCTGTGACAAGATCATCTGCACGGCCGAAGCCGAAGAGTTCGGGATTGGCATTCTCAATCACGCCTTGTGGGGGTGCGGGAACGGTCAGGATCATAGAAGCTGCCAAAGTTGCACAGATGAAGAGCGCTACTGTCACTTGCATTTGGAGAGGAGGGTCTGCTGGGGAGACTTCTTCAGTTTGTCTCTGGACTGGATGCCTTTGCAGAAGACTGGCTCCCTGGTCACATGGAAAGACTTTGAGCCGTCGAGGCAGAAGGCGAGCATGGGGCTGTTCCTGGGGTTTCCTTTCTTGCGACCACAAAGCGACGGTTTGTGATCCGAGGACTGTTTTAAGCACGAGGACACAAACAAGACTTGCACATTGTTAGATGCAGGTTTTTTTGACCTTCTCTATATATACACTCAACACCTTCAACAGCTCGGCACATAGCCAGCCCATTTTCCTTCTCTCCTTTTCTCTTTCACCTCATACCAGCGAACCACCACCTCGCCCCCTGCTGGCCCCTCACCAACCTTAGCTTCCACGGAAAAGGGACACCAGCCTACCTACCTACCTACCGACCTTTTCTCCACCTTCACCCAACCCTACCCCTCACACACACGGTCAAAGACCCCTGAGCCTCAGACACACCACCCCCCGGCACCCAGGTGATAGGCCATGAGAGAGTCTCTCATCAGGAACACCCTGTCATGACAGCACCACGCCAGCTGAATCCACGACCTGGCCTTCGCGGACGAAGGCGGCGGCAGAGGGAGCCCGAACCATGGAAAAGGCATACCCCCCCACCCTACCTTACCTACCTTTTTCCCCGGCACTTTCAGGCTTCCAAACAGGCAGAGATGCTGTGCGGGACCTCCAGAAGTGCGCATTCTGTTTTTCTGACTAGGCGATGATGATGTGGTGGATTGGAAAAGTAAACGGCGGGCGACGTGTTGTGTTGCGGCTTTTGTTGGCTGAGGACGAGATCGGGTATGTGACATGTGACGTGGGATTGTGCGAATTATTGTTTTGTGCGCGGTCTGTTGCGGGGAGAGGTCTCAGATGGGAGTTTGGCGTCGTTAGAAGTGAGGGGGAGTCGGGATGGACAAAAATCAAAAGAGAGGGTTTATTTCATGTTGTGTATGGGGGATGCCGAGGACGGAAGACGTCGTCTTCCCGAGGTATGCTTCCATTCTTTTACCTGAGCAGCTCCATTCACGGGTTCACAGACACACCTTGTGGTGGTCTCGTGTGGCTGTCTCGTTTTCTCATTCTTCTTTTCCTGCTTTCGGCGAGGCTTCTTCCCCACCATCGGGAACCACGCCCACCAGCCTATACCAGGCCTCGATATCAGCAATGAATTTACGATCAACAAGAGATTCGATTTCAGTGCTCTCCCACAGCTCAAGGGGGAGAAGTCAAACTTTCAGCAATGGAAAGACGCCGTGGAAATTCCATCATGTCGAAGGACTCGCTCTATGTATACTCGACGCCAACAACAACAACAACAACCTGGCTTTTGTGCCAACATTTTCTTTTTTCTGGTTTTCTCCTTCTCTCTCAGTTTGACTCTTCCACCGCACTTTACCTACCACCAACCGGTTGCCACCTACCACCTACCAACCACTCTACCGGTCGCCACCACCGGTCCACCTACCTACTGCACGGCCAGTCACATTCGGCCATTCCAACCCTCGACATTCCGCCGTCGAGGACCGTACGCAGCCTGCCGTCTCGGTCCCGCGTGAGAACTGCCGTTTGTGAGGAGCAGAGAGGCGATGCACCTTTGTCTGTGTGGAACGGGAGGAAGGCCAATAAGGGACGTGTGTGGCTTTGTCGACGACTATTTTTACTGCCAATCTAGACCAACGGCTGGAAGCAGCTCTTCTTGCTGGGTGGGGGTTTAGGCTCATTTTGTCATGATAGGCTAGGTCATGGGTAACAGAACAAGCGAGGTCGGCTGCGGAAGAGAGATGATACTTTACGACATGTTGGAGATGCGAAGATGGAGAGTGGGTGACGGTTCATGGGAGGGCATTGCTTTTTGTATGTTTCAGAGTTCAAGATATCGGATGAGCGGAAGAGAGCGAGGGAAGCAGCAGGAGATATGCGGATGGAAAGTAAAACATGTTTCATGACCGTAATCTGAACACCATCACGACCTCAAACCATCGGCATACTTGTGATATGTCCCATCCACCATCCAGACTGCTATCGTCGGTTGGTTTGTTTACATTGGTCGTCGGGGAAAAGGGGCTGGTCGGCTGCCTGCGGAAAGCTGGAGCTCTCGACCCCACTTACCGCATGCCAAGATTGGAGAACCCGGCTACTCGTGGGAGGGGGGGGCGTGATGCAACAATCCCGCAATGCTTCTCTGGAGAGTGGTGATGACAAATTAGGGCGAGATGAGGGCTCGAGATGTGGTGCTGAAGAGCCGAAAGTTGGTGAGCTTTGTGTCTGAATACCTTCGCAGAATCTCACCAGGTAAACAGAGAGGAACAACCAAAAATGAGGACAAAACCAGCGCTGCATGAACTCAACGAATCGGTTTTGTGGATCTTCGATGGTTCCAGAAACACCTCCAACCAGTGATCAAGTAGAGCGCTATGCCCGATCCTGCCTAGTGAACAGGGAGCTCGGGCCAATCCACTGACGAACCTTGGGAATTTTTTTTCGACATGGTTGCCGAGCGCTGACATATTTTATACAGAGTATCCCCCCCATCCTCCCACCTTGACGACCCCCTTCCGAAGCCGACATTGATCGTGATACCCAGACCCAAACCGAGCCTCCCTTTTTAGTTTGTTGCTTGAAACCGGCACACACATACCGCCACCATGCAGCGCGCACTCACGAGAGCGTCGGTCTCTTCCCCGCTCAAGGCCGCCCGCGTCCGTTCCACACAGCAGCTCCGCTTCGCTCACAAGGAGCTCAAGTTCGGTGTTGAGGGCCGTGCCGCTCTCCTTCAGGGTGTCGAGACCCTCGCAAAGGCCGTTGCTACCACCCTCGGTCCCAAGGGTCGCAATGTCCTCATCGAGTCCAGCTTCGGCTCCCCCAAGATCACCAAGGGTGAGTTTGTCCTCGCTCTACGAGAAGAATATCTCGACAGTAACTGACAGACGCACAAAGACGGTGTAACGGTCGCCCGCGCCATCTCCCTCAAGGACAAGTTCGAGAACCTCGGTGCCAAGCTCCTCGCCGAGGTCGCCTCCAAGACCAACGAGGTCGCCGGTGACGGTACCACCACTGCCACCGTCCTCGCCCGCGCCATCTTCGCCGAGACGGTCAAGAATGTCGCTGCCGGCTGCAACCCCATGGATCTCCGCCGCGGTATCCAGGCTGCCGTCGACAACGTCGTCGAGTACCTCCAGAAGCACAGCCGCGACATCACCACCTCTGAGGAGATCGCCCAGGTCGCCACCATCTCGGCCAACGGCGACGAGCACATTGGCAAGCTGATTGCCAACGCCATGGAGAAGGTCGGCAAGGAGGGTGTCATCACCGTCAAGGAGGGCAAGACTCTCCTCGATGAGCTCGAGGTCACCGAGGGTATGCGCTTCGACCGCGGCTTCGTCTCCCCCTACTTCATCACCGACGCCAAGGCCCAGAAGGTCGAGTTCGAGAAGCCCCTGATCCTCCTCTCTGAGCAAAAGATCTCCTCCGCCATGGACATCATCCCCGCTCTCGAGATCTCCAACAAGCTCCGCCGTCCTCTCGTCATCATCGCCGAGGACTTTGAGGGCGAGGCTCTCGCCGTCTGCATTCTCAACAAGCTCCGTGGCCAGCTCGAGGTTGCCGCCGTCAAGGCCCCCGGCTTCGGTGACAACCGCAAGTCCATCCTCGGCGATCTTGCTGTCCTCACCAACGCCACCGTCTTCAGCACCGAGCTCGATGTCAAGCTTGACAAGCTCACCCCTGACATGCTCGGCTCCACCGGCTCCATCACCATCACCAAGGAGGACACCATTCTCCTCAACGGTGACGGCAGCAAGGACTCGATTGCTCAGCGCTGCGAGCAGATTCGTGGTGTCATGGCCGACCCCACCACCTCCGAGTACGAGAAGGAGAAGCTCCAGGAGCGCCTCGCCAAGCTCTCTGGCGGTGTTGCCGTCATCAAGGTCGGTGGCTCCTCCGAGGTGGAGGTTGGCGAGAAGAAGGACCGCTTCGTGGATGCGCTCAACGCCACCCGCGCTGCCGTTGAGGAGGGCATCCTCCCGGGCGGTGGTACTGCCCTCATCAAGGCCTCCATCAACGCTCTCAAGGACCTCAAGCCCGCCAACTTTGACCAGCAGCTTGGTGTGAGCATCGTCAGAAACGCCATCACCCGCCCTGCCAGAACCATTGTTGAGAACGCCGGTCTTGAGGGCTCTGTCATCATCGGCAAGCTCCAGGACGAGTATGTCAATGACTTCAACAAGGGCTTCAACAGCGCCAAGGGCGAGTACGTTGACATGATCTCTGCCGGTATCCTTGATCCCCTCAAGGTTGTCCGCACTGGTCTCATTGATGCCTCTGGCGTTGCCTCTCTGCTTGGCACCACCGAGGTGGCGATTGTCGAGGCCGAGGACAAGACGCCTCCTCCCATGGGCGGTGGCATGGGCGGCATGGGCGGCATGGGCGGCATGATGTAAGATCACAACAGCAAAAGCAAAAGCAATGGTTTTATGATTTTGGGCGACTCGGTTTTGGGGATTTCTAAAAAGGGTTTGGGTGTTATCGGATTGTACAGTGTGTGCCATGTAATCTCCTCTCTACTTTTTCTCTCTGTGTTGATAGCTGCATATTCCCTTACGGCACCATGGTGGCATTGTATATTACGATCACACTGGGTTAGAGTAGAGGTAACAGACCACGATGTAATGATATTTCAAAGAGTTAACTGTGCAGCGAGTGTGCTCACTCTCAGTATGAGAGTGAGAGTGAGAGTGAGAGTATGACTGAAAGTGAGATGTAAGTGGTGAGAGGTGAGGTGGGACGAGGCGGGGTGCTCAGCCATCCCACCCCAATCACGTAAGCCCCTGTGAGTGGTCGTTCCTTCGTCACCGCCAATAACAACCCCACCAACCTGACCCTGCCATCTTGTTGTTTTTCAGGCTGCGAGCTGCCTTGCTGCCCCTCTCCATCTCCCCCTCCATCCGTTTCATTATCGCTTCGACCTCCACTGACCGCGTGTCTCCTTTACTCCTACACAACAAGGACCTTCCTGTTGAACCGCTCTGTAAGTTTGTTTCTCAACATCTCCTTCTGTAACATCTCCAGCTTCTCCGACAGCCGTCTGTCTGTCTGTCTGTCTGTCTGTCTGCTCAGTGCAATCAGTGGCCGGAGGGGGCAGCTGGTGTTGATGAATTGGGCGAGATGATGGAGGTCCATGCAAGTGGGCTGTAATATTAAACCCCTCTCTCGCCTTCCCTCACCAGGTGCAAATCAGGCCCACTTCTTTCTCTTGCTTCTCCTTTATTGTCATCTACACTCTCTCTCTACCTAACCAACTTTCTTGTTGTTTCTGAAGAGAGAGAAGAAGAGAGTGTTTTGCTGCCTGTTCTATTCTGTTCAGTCGGATACCTATCTGATTACGTGTGTGTATGCGTTGCTGTTCTGTTGTTGCCTACCTATGTTCCTCTTCCTTCTTCTTCCTCCTCCTCCCCCGCTATTCACTGCTGCCCGCTGCCACCGCCGCAACAAGCCACTACCACTCACTACCGACCACTTGCTAACTTTTTTGTTCTCCTCTTACTTGTAACAGCTGCCGAATATCAACGGTTTTTGTCTTTGAGGACACACCACACCACGCACCCACCCACCGAGCCACGCGATTTACTGCTTGCGCATCACCGATCGAGTTCCTTTTTTTTTTCAGGGAGTTTAGACAACAACCACAAGAAAACTGCAATCATGGTGAGTTTTGGATTTAAAGGGGAGGGAGGGTGAGGGAATTGGGAGGGGGGGGGGTGATAGGATTGGGTGCTTGTTTGGTTTTGCTTGCGCGCATGATCCCCGCTTGTTGTTGGATGGGAGATGATGCGCGCCGAGGGAACGAACAGCTTTCGAGGAGGTGGTGTGCACGGTAGCCGACGACGACATGATAGCTGACATGATTCTTTCTCTCTCGCAGTCTCAATCCGGGTTAGTAGTACCGCCTTCTGTTCTATGATGTCCAACTACCCTTCTGCGAGCGAGGCCCACCACCGCCGAATCGACCGTCATCACAGCCCAACATACTCCCCCCTCTGAGTCTTCCACCACCAACCCAGATGGCTAACCACACACATGCATCAAACAGCGCCACCGTCAACGAGGAGTGCATAACCGCCTACAACGACCTCAAGCTCAACAAGAAGTACAAGTACGTCATCTTCAAGCTCTCGGACGACAACAAGGAGATTGTCGTCGACAGCACCTCGGAGAGCGGCCCCGAGTACGACGACTTTCGCGAGAAACTCATCAACGCCAAGACGAAGAGCAAGACCGTATGTCCTTTTTTTTTTTTTGGTGTCTCAACAGCTATCCCTACCTTGTCTCTCTCCGAGCTATGATCCCAGCTGACTGACACAAAAAACAGGGCGCCGTAGGCAAGGGTCCCCGCTACGCTGTCTACGACTTTGAGTATAATCTCGCTTCTGGGGAGGGTGTCCGGTTTGTTTCCCCCCCTTACTTTTACTACTCCGGAATATTGTGTTGATTGATTTGGAAAAAAACAGGAACAAGATCACCTTCATCGCTTGGTCCCCTGATGATGCCGGTATCATGGTATGTTTTTCTTTTCTTCTTACCCCCCAACACAGTAAACTCATACTAACATGCTCGACACAAACAGGCCAAGATGGTCTACGCCTCCTCCAAGGAGGCCCTCAAGCGCGCCCTCCCCGGCATCGCCACCGAGGTCCAGGCCAACGACGCCGACGACATCGAGTACGATTCGCTCGTCAAGACGGTGAGCAAGGGGACTGCTGCTTAATTTTTTTTTTGGCGGCGCGGCGGTCGAGTTGTTGTGTGACAAAGGAGAGGGGATAAACATGGTCATATCAGAGAAATGGTTATGTTGTTATACGCGAGTAAGCGGGAAGGATGGTGGTGGTGGTGATGGTGGTAGTGGTGGTTAGGGTAGAGGAGGAGCATGCTGTAGTTGTCTGAACTGATATTGCGAGTTTGTTGCTTGTTTTTTTCGTTGTTTTCGTCGTGGTTTATGCCGAGTATCATTCTTGATGAAGAATACTGAAGGGGTTGTGCTTGTTTCTGTCTAGTCAACCCCCCATTTCAAGTCCAAAGTTGGGGATAATGATAGTCGATGAGGAGATACATTCACCGGGCGTGTCATTATCAAAATCACAGATAGTTACATCTCGATAGGTCCTCGCAAAGGATAATCTACACGTTCAAGAGGCGGACATATGTGTGTGTGTGTGTGTCAACTATCTTTGGAGTTCCTCGCCCCAGAATCACCACACCCAACACGCCAACGTTTCTAACTGTTTTAAATGTGACAGGATGACTTTGCTGGGTGAGCGGCCTTTGCAACCTCAACTAATCAATGACCATAGTAGTTACCGTGTTCATGCCACCACTTCAACCCCCCTCCCCCTCACGACCTCCAAGCCAATCTAAACCTCTCCACCGCCTCTTTGGCCACACCCTCATCCCTAACCCTCTGCTCCAAAAACCCCTTCAAATCAGCCCAAAACTCTTCGGTATCCAACACCTCCCGTCCACTTTGCTGTCCGGGCGCCGCAACAGGTTGTTGTTGTTGTTGTTGTTGTTGTTGTTGTTGCGGTTCCGCTTCCTTACTGTCCACCTCCATTTCATCCTCCTGTTTTGGCGGCTTCTGTTCCGGCACCGACGCCGCGCCCCCAATGATCATCAACCCCAGCTCCAGTTGTTCTTTCCCCTCCCCCGCTAGAACATCCTTCAACGTTTTGGAGTCCTGAGCAGGTTTCTTCTGGTGCAGCAACTTTATCTTTTGGACTGGGACACCCGTTTGGAGGGAGATCGCGTTTTTGATATCCAGGACTGAGGTCGTGCTGACCGGAAGGGGGGAGGGGAGGGTAATGGATAGGGGTGGGTTGCGAGAGGAGACGGCGGTTACGGTGATAGATTCGGGGGGCGCCTTCGTGGCGCAAGTACGGCGGGTGAATTTCTTGGGCAGGGTGGGGTGGTGAGGGAGGGTGTACTACTTTATTAGCAAGTTAATCCCCAAAAAAAAAGGTAGGGAAAGGAAAAGACATACAGGAGTGGTGACTGTATACCGACGCGGATCCTCAACGTGGTCGTGGGTTATCTTGGACGGGATACCCCCCAGCATTGACAAAAAGGATTGGGCAAAGGCTAGTTCGGTCATGTTCGCGGCTGGTGTTGCTTCTTCTTGTCTAGAGGAAAAAGAAGACAGGAGGTGGTGGGTGAGATAGGGATCCAGTTTTGTTTTTGTTGAGGAATAGTTGAGTAGTGAGTAGGTGAGGTTGGTGATGATGATGGTGGTGGTGGTGGTGGTGGTGGTGGTGGTGGTGCTGCATGGAATGATTGCGAACCTATCCGCTACCTACAACCCGACGTCAACGGCGCCAGTCAGTGGTGGGGGCAAAAGGTGGGGTCGGGATGGGCTTATCTTATCAGCTGGCAGGTGACACTTTGAGCTTCAATGACACGGTAGAGGTTGGATTCACGCCACAAATCCACTGAATAAAAACCCTTGACTTGCAGGTGATCACAGAGTCAAGAAGCTCGAAGCTAATTTCTCAAGTGTGAGTGATACCTATAGCTAAGCTAAGCTAAGCTGAGCTCCTTTGACAGGCTGGGATCTCCATGCCTTCGACATCATCTGACAAAACTCGTACATATTATTAAGCCAGCAAGCCAAAGCTACTAAGCCCGGCCTCTACAAATGGTCATAACTCGTCTATCCGTATCATCTATTCATCATCACCGTCATCAAGGTCGTTACCAAAACGCCCCAAAAAGAAAAAATCCCACACCCAGTGCCCACCCACCCATATTCATCCATCAGTTTCAATCGTGTACAAATCCAGCCCTTACAATCCTCTCCCTCCAACACTCCTCGCTCATCTCTTCCATTTGCCATTAACAGCCATCACCACCAAGTCCAATCATTGTCTCAAACAGACAAATAGCATGCTCCCGTAGCCCTTATATATCATTGTTGTTGTGTAGTGTGTGTGTGTGTGTGTGTGTGTGTGTGTGTGTGTGTGTGTGTGTGTGTGTGTGTGTGTGTGTGTTGTGTAGTGTAGTGTAGTGTTGAATTTTTGTATGTCCGACCAGGTAATGCCGAAAAAAAAAAACCAAATAAAAAAAACAAATGCGCCTTTGCCTTTGCCCATTTTGTTTGTTGTGATAAAAGTCGTGAGTCATGGTCATGTCGTTCCCGAGGTAATGCAACCCAGAAAAGAAAACCTCAAACACCTGCTGGCTACGCTTGCTAACATGCAAGTAACCATGAGAAAAATGGAAAAATCGTTGGGTATCAAAAAAGCCTAGTCGGCAAGGCTCTGCTTGACAATGTCGCGAATCGCCCATTTCCAGGCATCGCCGCGGTCCACCTGGTCGCTGATCCAGGAGGAGCACTTCTTTCTCCAGCGGTCCTCCTCTTCCCGCTGCCGACGAACAAATTCGGGGCCGACGTCAAACTCCTCGCCCACGAGCCAGTCGTCCTTGATCTCGCTGGCGCGCCCGTTGCCACCGTCGCTAGAGGCCATGGTACGCTCCTCGAGATCGGGAATGTCCTTGAAGACATCGTCTTCGTCATCCAAGGCGTTGAATCCATCCATGGCGTCAGGTTGCTGAGCCTGCTGCTTGCTCTTGCTGTTGGACTGTGGCCCAAGCTTGAGCCAGCACATGGCTTGAGGATCGAAAACCATGCCGCCCACAACCTGAACGCCCTTGGTGGCGCCGATGTTGGTGATGAGAGCCGGACGCGGTGTCGCGTTTTCCCTCTCTCTCATGACATATCTTGGCACCGAGGTCGTAGAGGGGGTAGGTGGAAGCCGGGGCCTCGAAGGCGTGCAGCACATTGTCGTTGCCCTCCAACTTGAAGGTCTCGGGGTTATAAAACATTCCACCAACCGCTGCGGGCATTGTTAGAGTTCTGCATGAAAAAAAACAAAAACGCGGTGGGAAAAAAAACTAAAAAAAAAAAAAAAACTCACTCTTTGCCTCTCTCGGGGGGTTCAGATTGGATATCAAATGGGGCTTCGCCTGTGGAGATCTCCGCATTTTGCGCGTACCCTTGGCCGTTAGAGTCGGTGGCTGGGAAATATTGAGCGTACCCCTGGCAGACGATAGCTGGGCGACCCGCTGAGCCGTTAGTGGGGCCAGCGGGCCGGAGGGGTTGCGTTGAGCGAGACTGGTTTCCCGGGCAATTCGGCTCGCGGTGGTATCGCGGGCAAAGCTGGGCACGCTATCGACCCGGGGGGCAACAAACGGTGCAATGGGCGACGGGGTCGTGATGGCCCGATCGGGAAGGATGTTTTGAAAAGTCTTGCTCCGCATGTGCGTCTTGGCCCCGCCGCTAACGGGTTGCTTGAGGAACTTGGCCTCCGCCTGAGTCGATGTCGGCAGATCGTCAAAGGCATCCAATTCGTGCCCGTCACCAAAGTTCTTGACTCGGCGCGGCATGCTCAGTTTGCTCCAGGCCCCATCGGCCGTGGCCTTCTCAGACGGGCGATACCTGCGCGGACTAGGCGAGCGTATTGTAGACCGAGAAACCGTTCTAGAGCCTGGCCGGTACTCAATACTGGTTTCGGAATCGTGTCGCCGGAACACCCGCGACGACTTGGCATTGATGTTGTGCGATTGCGAGAGCGACGCCCCGGCCGGGAGAAAAGGCACAGGCGCTTTGCGGGCTTGGGCCGCCGAACTCTCAGAGGACCGCAAATGCTCCACCGGCGTCTTTGGCCGGAGAGTGGGAGGGCCTCGTGCCGAGTAGTCCGTCCGGGATGGGGGGCGCTCGTACCCCCGGACCGTCGCCGAGCCTCTAGCAGGAGATGGTAGATTTCGCAACGCAGGCAACGACCTCTTAGATCGGAGCAGCTGAGCACTTGTGGTCGTTGGCCCGGCCTGTCTAAGAGCCATCGAGGTCTTTTGACCAAGTTCTCGCCTCCGAGATGGGGTGGACGGGGCGGGGGTAACAGTCTGTGCTGAAGACGGAGTAGGGGGGGTCGCGATACTACTGAGGCTGCCCATGCTAGTCACGCTGGCGACTGAAGACTGCGCCGAATGACCAAGACCGCCTCCCAGGCGAGACAATGATCGTCTGCTGTGAGTGGTGCGAGCGATCGGCCCACCGCTCTCAGAGACAGGCTCCAACGAAGACAAGGATGATTGAGTGTTGGACCTCTCGTGGTTCACTGCCGGACCCATGGGACGAGGCAGGCGAGAGGTGGTGACAGGCTTGTTGGTGAATTTGAGGGCGACAGAGGCCTTGGGACGGGCCGGACTGATGGGCCTCGTCTCCTTCACCTGAATGTTGCGATGAAGAGTTAATTTACGCGAGTCAAAGACATCGCCATCGCCAAGAACGAGGCCAGCAAGGAAATCCTCCTTCTCCTCTTCCTTTTCCTCCTTGATCGGCGGGACGGGAGCAATGTTGCGCACAGGGGAGCGACTGCTCTGACGACGACGTCGGAGCCTCTCTCCCAAATCCAGCGGTCCATGAGGCAGGATAATGCCCTCAAACAACTCATCCTCGCTCTCGGTAATGATCGAGCTTGCTATGCTGGGACTCATGGCCGAGACGGAGGAGCTACGGCACGACATGAGATCGCGACGAGTGCCACCGAATCTTGTCCCGAGACTGCCTTCGGCCCACTCAAAGTCATCCATCATGGTGTTGAAAGTGGGCGTCTTTGGCACGTCCCTCCTTGTCGACAGCTGAAGTTTTCCATCCGATGGAAGTTCAAAGTCCTTTTCGAAATCATCCTCTCCATCGGCGGGTTTGTCAATGTTGGACTTTTTCGGGGTCGGCGGGGTGATCAAAGAGATGGGCTTGGGAGTCTGGCGCCTCTTAGACACTTTGATTGTCTCCATGCCATCTCCGAAAAAGTCATCGTCGTCCTCGTTGTCGCGGAACCGCTCCAGGTCGATGTAGCTGTTGCTGATGGAGGACGAACTGTTCTCCTTGCGATCCTCCTGAGCAATGGTGAGCGACTTCCTGGATGGCTTCAGAGGGCTGTTTGTTGTTGAATTACTAACTTGGCGCAGGACTTCGGGGAACTGGGAGCCATCGCGGGGCTTGAACTGGAGCGACTGGCCCATGTCGGGAAATTCGAGATCGTCGACCCAATCCTCCTGGATTACCTTTTTCAATTTTCTCCCCCCAAGACGCTTGATGGTGCCCCCCATAAGGGCGGATGGTGGTACATTTTTGGGGATCGGAACGCCGGCCTTTTCGGCAGCTGCGATGGCATCCAGAGTGGACTTCTCATCGTCGCCGGGCAGGTGGACCTGCTTTTCCTCCTCTCCATGGATGGACTCGAACTCGGATCGGAAGGATGATTGCGAATCGCGACGGTTGGTGGGAAGGTTGGCCGAGTTGGACTGGCTCTGAAAGGTGAGATCGTCACCATCAATCACAAAGTCTTCATCGTCCCAATTCTCAATCTCGTCCTCGACCGGCAGACGAGCTCTTAGACGTAAGGTTTCCATGGCTGGTGATGTTGGAACACTGGTTATTTGCAGTTCAGATGCAATCATGTGCGATCGCGACGGCTACTGTTGTGTAGCGACGATGGGCGATCGAGTCAGTAATGAGGATTCATAGTCGTCAACACGTTGGCATCGGCCACCCGGGCAGGCAATTGTTTTCCTTTCTCAGGGAGCAATAAGAACAGCTAACGGTCGCATAAGGTGTACAGGTGTACAAGTCGGGAGGAGTGGTTCCGGGTCGGTAAGGAATGGTGTAGGTTTGTTGTTGGTATACGAAGCAAAAGAGGCAAAAGAGACAAAAGAGAGCGCGATACAGGGGTTATGCTGCGGGGGAGGGCTATTTCGTAATTGCAAGAATGCAGGAATTTCTGCTGCTCGTGTGGGCTCTCTGAGGTGACGTTGTGGTGGGAAGTGGTCGAAAACGAAGAGGCGGGATGTGGTGCCTTGGTATATGTGGAAAGGTGTGGCTG